TTCATCTTGCATCGAGACCGTTCAGGAGGCGTGGCTGGTCACGTGCCCTTGCTGCCGCACCGCGCACCCCGCTTCGGGAATGGACGATTTCCCCATCGTGTTCGCGGTCGAGGATCTTCTGAGGGAAACCGACGCACGCGGCACGGACGCCATGTTGCCCAGAAGGCGAGGCTCGAGGAAGCTGGAGGAGCTGAAGGAGGGGCAGGCGCTCGCCGTTCAGGAGTCAGCCTATAAGTGTGGGGACTTGCTCTCGCAGATGGTGGAGTTCAAGGGCAGGCTCCTCAGTTGGATGACCGAGCACGAGGCCCTCATGAAGAGGCTCAACGACGTCATCATTCATCACAAAACGGCGCACCAAATGCTAGAGAGGGAGATAGATCTATTGGACGAGTTTTACTCCGAAGGCCGGCAAAAGCAACGGAAACTGATGGCGCTGGGGGAAACTCTCCACGCGGCAGAAACCCCGCAGGAGGCGGCCACGTCCATTCAAGACGCCGACGAACACCAGGACGAGGCGGAAAGTTGGCTCCGGAAATGTCTCAAACATTTCCCGGAAGCGAACACAGTCCGCAGATCCATCAAGGTCAGTGGTGCCTTCTCGCCCTCCTCAAGACTAGTGCTGCTGTAATTCCGTATTTAATAGCATATAGTGACGGCCCTTTCTATGAATCCCAAGTATTACCAAATGAATAGAGATAGTTTTACAAGGAAGAATTTTGCATGTAATGACACTCGTTTCAAAGAGGTTAGTCAAGTAATTACCTTAAGGAGGCAATCCCCCCCCCCCCCATTGACTTATTTACAATTTTTTAATCTTTTTGAAATCAGGTGCCATTGTTCTTGTTATCACTTGGTATCTTCAGTTGTTAACATGTGTTTCAAGAGTGTATTTTTATGACGGTCTCTGCACTTTGCTTCTTATTTAATATTCAAGTTTGAGTTTATCATTTCACCTTACCAGGTTAACAAAACATTTGATTCGCGTTTACCCAGACCGTTTGCTTGAGCCCAGGCCTGTTTAGTTAGCCTTCGTTCTGAGACGGATATGATTCCGACTCTGTTTACACTTGCCCTCGCTCCTAGTAGTGAGAAACGAGGTAAATACACCTTCTTGCTGCAGATCCGCGCGATCACCGAGAAGGCCCTGGATGTAATAGACAACGAGGCAGACTATGCAACTCTCTGCGACGAGATACTTGACAATGCAGATTCCTCTCACGAAACGGCAGACGCCTCTGGAGAAACGGCAGACGCCTCTGGGGAAGCGGCAGGCGCCTCTGGGGAAGCGGAAGACGCCTCTGGGGAAACGTCAGACACCCCTGGGGAAGCGGCAGGTGGCGCTGACAATGGGCAAGAATTCACCAACCTTCTCGACAAATTTGCGATGCTGAAAATTCAGTTTCATACGGAAGTGACGGTCAGTTTTGCAGATATTTCTGGTGTGTGACTCATTATTTAGGAGTATTTATTTCGATTAGTTATTTGGCAGTGTTCTGTAACAAATTGTTTTTCATTTCTTTTTTTCTCTCATGGCTTTAAAGATGGTGATTTCAATGGTGATTTTCTTCTTTCTCAAATTAAGCCGCTGTAAGAGGTTTTACGAAATATAGAAGACGTGCTGCATAATGTAGCAAAACGCAGTACTGCAGCATTCGTCGGCAAAAAGTATAATATATATAAGTAGAAAAAGATGCACAGAAATTAAGATAAAATTAGCACTGCTGTATCTGTATATGAAATATAAAATAAACCACGAAGTAGTACAAAATGGAAATAAAAAAACTGCTGCTCCTGTGTCCTTCCTACTAACCAGAAACCAAACCCAACAGATCGGCGACCTTTTCGAGAGGTCCCCACGGGCGATGGAACTCCTGCAGGATTGGAGGATTTTTGCCATTCAGAAGCACCAGGGGCGCCTCCGGTCAGCCAGGATAACAGAGGAAGGAGGGAAGGTCCTTCTCCACCGCCTCAGGAACAATCGCCATCCCTTGAACTCCAGCGCCCTCATGGTGAGCTGCTCTTTGCATCGAGCTTCACTTGGCCCTCAGACTGGATCTCCCCGAGTCCCGTCCTGGGGGTATTTGGGGGGCAGGGGAGCCTTTATGTGGAAATGCAAGGTGTGCTACGCCGCTCCCTGGGTTCTTCTTTAGTTACAGATCAAATTTGGAACAGAAATCAGCAAAGAATTTGTTAATTTGATGAAAATTAAGTCTTATATATCAGCGCAAGACCAGTTTAATGAAAACAATACTTTAAGAGTCAGTGCAGAATAACTTAGTTTAATGAAAACAATACTTTAAAATTTAGCGCGGAGTAGGTAGTTTAATGAAAACAATACTTTAAAATTTAGCGTAGAGTAGTTAGTTTAATGAAAACAATACTTTAAAATTTAGCGTAGAGTAGTTAGTTTAATGAAAACAATACTTTAGTAATAAGCGCAGAATTACTTGGTAAAAGGTCGCGGTTCATTATAATCCTGATAATATTGGTTTGCGTAATTAATCCCATTCTCATTGAGCGGTGACTGGCGCTGTAATAGCATAACAAGCACTCACGCATTTAACAGAGAAATTTGAAGTGTACTTTGGCAGAATTAACCTGACTCTTTTTCCATCTGATATAAAGACATTTGCAAAGGATTGAGTGCTTGCTCAGAATCATTTGACGGAATAGCAGCTAAAGGCTGTATTTGTTTACATATTTTTAGCGTTTTGAGAGAGAGAGAGAGAGAGAGAGAGAGAGAGAGAGAGAGAGAGAGAGAGAGAGAGAGAGAGAGAGAGAGAGAGAGAGAGAGAACGATTTAAATCCACTTTCATTATAAAAGAGTGAATTTTTCAATAAGCAGTGAAACTTTTATGAAACATGTATCAAGCATGAAGTTTATAACCCACAATTTGTTTGTAATATCGGTTTCAATAATACTCTCAGTGTAAATGTTTAGTTTAGCGGAAATTATTCTTTAAAAATCGTACTTAACTTTCTCATTTGAAGTGCAGATACTCGTGTGACTAGCCTTTTCAAAATCTAAGAATGCTGTCATTAGATTAGATGAATGTTATCAGATACACTAAATGCTAGTAAAAATAGCATTCTGTTTCCAACCTCTTTTATGTGCAAATTAACAACGATTTTGTCATAATGAAGGGAATATCTGAATGCACTACAATTTTAGTTTTCAGTTACTTGGAGGAATCGGAGAAAGAACCCTTTAGTTCTGTCGAAACTACTTTTTCAACAACGAAGGGCTCAGTTGCTCTTCCATACAAAGGAGATCTAAATTTAAATCTCAGGTGTATAAATGCACAGTGCTGATGAACAAAGCTTATGTATTTTTTTCGTGGCAGTTGGCAGGAGATAAGAGTTAGTGATATTGGATAACAGCCAGAGGAAGTGTGTATTGGAGAGGAACCCAGTTTTTACGCTGTGGATCACGCGTATGTTTTTCTTCCAGCACAAGGATGTGATGGCCTTCCTGGACCCTGCCACCATCGTGGCCTTCTTAGAGCTGCAGTGGCATGAAGGCTGTCCGTATCGGGTCCACTTCCGCCTGAATCTCAGGATGGTCGCTGGGAAGCAGTTCGCCCTGCTCTGCACGGGCGAGAAGGGGCCGTGCTATGCGAACAGCACTCTGATGCTTAATGCTGCGAAGGGGGACGAGGGGGAGAGCGCGGGCAGAGGCGTTTGCGACAGCAGTAGAGGCTCTCCGCACCGACTGTCCTTCTGGGGGAAGAACACGTGGCACCTCTGGAAGACGGTCGTGCAAGATTCTTGGGTCATGCTCGTTGCCATGGACGGGGTGCAACTGGGGATCGCACATAAAGGATATTTATCGAACCAAAGGTTCAAAGCGTTTGGTGAAGTGGAGAGTGGATTGGAAACTCTAATGTCAGTGAATGATTTGCCCGATGATACCACTGTCACGATAACAGACTGTGGTGTTGTGATCCCGATGTAGGCAGGCAAAGAGTTCAGTGTCCCTTGTCTCCATCGAAGTTAGAAACGAATCTCGACGCAGTCTTCTCACGACTCGTGCCTGGGAGCGAGTTCGAAGCTGGAGTAAAGTCGCCTTCTACTATTTCTGGCACATCAGGCCGAGTGCGAGTTAAAACTATAAAGCTTTTGTATGTAACAGTCAATAGGAAGGATCTGATAAATGTGAAATAATGAAGTATAAATCGGGTAAATAGGTCTCATCGTAAAATGCCGCTAGCATGTAAAACCAAAACATTATTGCCATGTGTTATAGGAAGGTGAGATCTTAGTTAAAGAAGTCCACGGCTGGTTCAGTACAATGAACAAGATCTAGCCGATGCCTTTATAAAGATATAGGAGTATAATAGATCTTAGTAAATGTGTAGTTGTGTGTGTGTGTTTTTTTTTTTTCAAATTTGCGTTGTTTGGTGTAAAAGATAAAGGTAATGTGCTTAATTGCAATGAACTGTTGTGTGTGTGTCTTCAGATGATTGTGTATTTCTTTCTCATTCTGATAATGCATAGCAGAAGGAAATACCAGCGAGTTGATACTGCCATCACAATGTACCCAGTATTTTTTTTTTTGTTCTGTTTCATAATTAATAAAATCATCTTTGGACTGACATCACGGGGGAACACAACGCCAAGAGCACAGTTTCAGTTTCCTAGCATACTGAGAAGCTTCAGGTATGGTCTTCGCTAATGTTCTAGTCGTGTACGTAGTTTTTTTTATCTACTCTTGGCGTGTGTTTTCCTATTATACACTCCTTGATATTGTAATGATATGTTCCAGGAATAAAACAAGAAATTATCAAGAATTTCACCACAATCACCAACAGGTTCAGGTGGCGAAAGGGAAGGCTGGACTCTGAAATCTAACATCTAAAACATTATTGTTATTTTTTCATTCTGATATGATCTTGAAAGCTGAAGTGGACATATGTTTTAAGCACATATATTTTTTTTCTCTCTCTATCAATTCATTATTCTATCAGTTAATCTTAAGCACTTGATCTGTCAACATCTTTCTAACCATATGTATCCTCTGCAGTTCTCACTTCTTTTCAAAAAACAAGTAGAGAGGGAAAGGGGAGAGGGGGGAGGGGGGAGGGTGAGAGTGAGGGAGAGGGTGAGTGAGAGGGAGAGGGTGAGAGAGAGAGGGAGAGGGAAAGAGAGAGAGGGAGAGGGAACGAGAGGGAGAGCGAGAGAGATAAATAGATGGAGAAAGAGAAAGGAAAAGGGAAAATGGAAAAGGGAAATGGAGAAAGGGGAAAATGAAAAGGTGAAAAGGGGAAAAGGGAAAAAAAGGGAAAGGGAAAGAGAGAGAGAGAATGTGAAAGAGAAAGTGAGAGTTAGAGAGAAAATAAAAGAGAAAAGAAAGAAAATTTAAAAGAAAAGCGAGAGAGAAAGGGAGAGTTAGAGAGAAAGGAAGATAGTGAGAGATAAAGAAAGAGAGAAATAGAGAAAGAGAGAAAGAGAGAAAGAGAGAGAAAGGGAGTGAAAGAGAGAAAGAAAGAGAAAAAGAGAAATAAGAGAGAAAGAAAAAAAAGAAAAAAAAATAGCGAAAGCGAGCGAGCGAGAGAGCTTTAATCGGATTTATTCTATTCTTTTTCATTTGCTAAAGCGATGACTTGTATTTAACGACCCCGCAACAGCCGTTTCCCCTTCCCTCCCTTTTGATCCGGCACACAAAATGTAATCTTAGTTTACGCTTGGCTTGGGTTGGCCAGGAACTGTGGAGGGCGACTCTAGTACACCTAACAATGGCAAAATGTGTGTTTCAGTGTTTATATTTCATTATTGTTATCATCATTATCATTATTATTATTATTATTATTATTATTATTATTATTATTATTATTATTATTATTATTATTATTATTATTATTATTATTATTATTATTACTATTATTACTATTATTACTATCATTATTATTATTGTTATTATTGTTATTATTATTATTATTATTATTATTATTATTATTATTATTATTATTATTATTATTATTATTATTACTATCATTATTATTATTATTATTACTGTTATTAGTGTTATTATTTTTATTATTGTTATCAGTGTTATTATTATTATTATTGTTATTATTATTGTTATTATTATTGTTATTATTATTGTTATTATTATTATTATTATTATTATTATTATTATTATTATTATTATTATTATTATTATTATTATTATTATTATTATTATTATTATTATTATTATTATTATTATTATTATTATTATTATTATTATTATTATTATTATTATTATTATTATTATTATTATTGTTATTATTATTATTATTATTATTACTATCATTATTATTATTATTATTATTAGTGTTATTAGTGTTATTATTATTATTATTGTTATTATTATTGTTATTATTATTGTTATTATTATTGTTATTATTATTATTATTATTATTATTATTATTATTATTATTATTATTATTATTATTATTATTATCATTATTATTATTATTATTATTACTATCATTATTATTATTATTATTACTGTTATTAGTGTTATTATTATTATTATTGTTATTATTATTGTTATTATTATTGTTATTATTATTGTTATTATTATTGTTATTGTTATTATTATTATTATTATTATTATTATTATTATTATTATTATTATTATTATTATTATTATTATTATTATTATTATTATTATTATTTTTATTATTATTATTATTGTTATTGTTATCGTTATTATTGTTATTGTTATTGTTATAATAATAATAATAATAATAATAATAATAATGATGATAATAATAATGATAATAATAATAATAATAATAATAATAATAATAATAATAATAATAATAATAATAATAATAATAATAATAATAATAATAATAATAATAATAATAATAATAATGATAATAATAATAATAATTATTATTATTATTATCATCATATATTATCATGATCATTGCCACTGTCATTGTCACTGTCTGTCACTGTCACTGTCACGGTCACTGTTACTGTCACTGTCATTCATTCTGTCTCATCTGTGTCATTGCACAGTCTTACATTAGAATTTAGTGACGTGCTCTGTGCTCACCTGCACACTTGGTGATGATGCAAATATTCAGTGAAGAGAGACGGATTATTTAAAGAATGAGACATCTGCATAGCCAATGAATCTTCCGCCCGACGCCAGCTGAGTGGTCCATCTCTCGTGATAACTTGGACATGTGCAAAGTGTATCTCTCGTTGTTCCATGTTGTCTATTTCTGTTGTGATAAATTGAGAGTAACATCTCTTCATCATTACCTTTCGCCACTGTGATCAGCAACGATAGACTATGATAACATTAAGGCCACTGAGAAAGGAATTTGGAACTGGGAGTGTCTCTCAGTCACTGCACGCACTTCCCAATTCGTGAGCCTTTTTACATAGTAATTGAAATGGTCGACAACTTCTCAAGAACTCTTGCCACTGTCTGCTTTTCAAACTTTTCAAATTCCTGTCTTTTAACTTGCTGTTCATACTGTCTACTGTACTTACTACCTTACTGTTACTTCTATAAGCACTATAGCAGTGTTTCATCGTATACATGCTAGGATTGATACCAGAGAAATGTTGAGAATGACACATGAAGCAGGAGCTATACTGATGAACCATGAATAAGTGTTTCAACAATAATTTTAGCATATTATAGCCCACAAATACTCATTCAGAGCTAAGGGGATTATCACACATTAAGCTTTAGAAAACGGTCCACTACACTCCTACCAGCTTAGACCAGTTATAAGACACAGGGTTTTGTTACTTTATGAAAAGCAGATTGTTAATAAAAAAGAGGTGTACGTCGTGTTTAAAATTACAATGCAAAATGTACACTGTTATTAAAAGGTCAAATCGTTTTGAGGTGATTAATGCATCGCGTTGTGGATAGGATAGGAAGACATGTTATGAGTTTTAACCTCCGTTTGGTTCATATAGATTTTCTGTTCTCTTTTTTTACTCTGAATAATTACACTGAACTTTGAATCTAACGTTCAGCTCCTTCCCTGTACGTCGCGCCTGTGTTTATTACACTGGCGAAGCTGTGTTGGAATTCTTTATGTTGAAGTCCATACATGTCCACGTGTCGTATGGTAAAATTCAAAGTTCGGTTGATTTCCATTTTTTTTCTTACTCTACTACAACTACTCTCTCTCTCTCTCTCTCTATCTCTCTCTCTCTCTCTCTCTCTCTCTCTCTCTCTCTCTCTCTCTCTCTCTCTCTCTAAATATCTATCTATAGATATATGTATATGTATATGTATATGTATATGTATATGTATATGTATATGTATATGTGTATATATGTATATCTATATCAGTATCGATCAATCAATCAGTCGTGTCTATACAATTTTTAGTTCAGAGCAAACGCTTAGTTTTCCATAACGCAGAGTACATAACCGTAATAGTCCGATGTTATTTAAACACAAACACACACACACGCACACGCACGCACACACACACACACACACACACACACACACACACACACACACACACACACACACACACACACACACACACACACACACACACACACACACACACACATACATTACCAGAAAAAAACATCATTTAGTATTAAAAAAAAACGGATTTCCCCCTATCAGCGCCATCTATTGTTCCCGGGACGTAATATTTTCCACTCTTGTGCGCGCGTCTCCGTGTGCGGTCATGTGTTCTCGAGCGCTTATGAAGAGTAAAAACTCCCGGACGTTTGATCAAAGTGTGATAAACAGATATTCTACACAAAGAGTAGAGAGCCGAGATCATTCTGAAAAACAATTTGCATGGAAATTGTTATGGAAAGTTCTACTGAGAGAGAGAGGGACGGGGAAGGGGAGGGGGAGGGACGGGGAGAGGGAGAGGGACGGGGAGGGGGAGAGGGACGGGGAGGGGAAGAGGGAGAGGGAGGAAGAGAGAGAGAGAGAAAGAGAAAGAGAAAGAGAAAGAGAAAGAAAAAGAGAAAGAGAGAGAGAGAGAGAGAGAGAGAGAGATAGAGATAGAGATAGAGATAGAGATAGAGAGATAGAGATAGAGATAGAGATAGAGATAGAGATAGAGATAGAGATAGAGATAGAGATAGAGATAGAGATAGAGATAGAGAGAAAGAGAAAGAGAGAGAGAGAGAGAGTCCGCGCGCCGTGGTTGGAACAGAGTTAGGAGAGGATCGAATCATACTCGCAGGATTGAGTGCTACTTGTGTGGATTTGGAAGCGGAAGGTGTCTCTCGCGTTTCATTTATTTATTCATCGTCATTCAGAAAGCGTGAAACTCGAAAGCTTTGTACAACCCCTTCACCTTATAGTGTCTTTACCTTATGGTGCTGCTACTACAGCGACTGTTACTACTTCTACGCCGACTA